CGGATTGAAGTTCCTGTCCACTGTAAGAATGACTCTTGTTATGAGCAGTTCCATCGAAGAAACACACCTGATACTTGTCTGATCGTTAACTTAGTACTTGCAAGAATTACGGTGATAGCATGGAAGAAACGCATGGTTCAAAAATGATCCAGCTCACGTCTTGTGAAATGCCCCAAGATGCAGACCAGCACTCGGAACATGGCTATTCAGTTCAGCCATGACTGTCTAAATACATGTTCCGTAACTCTCGTGATGGAAATATCGGACGCGTCATCCTTTGAGGAGACTTTCTTCTGGCCCTTCCTCGTCCTGCCACTGAGGTGAGCATATTATCAAATGGCAAGAATTTCTGCTGGTTCAAGACATCTAGTGGGAAAGAAAGAGGGCAGTGATGCTTGGCATTCGGCGGTTCTGGAGGCCTCTAGTGTCTTGAAGTCGGATTTAAGAAGATCAATTGCGCGAGGTGGTGCCGAATCCATAACGAGAGCAATACGCGCTAACGCACCCAGCTTACTTGCCAAGACAGTCTGCCAATGGCTGACGTATCCATTTAGACCACACGCTGGTCACATTCGAGCACTGCCACTCTTTCAGTATGAACTAAATCACCGTCTTTCTCAAATAGAGACTGCCATGCACTTATGAGCCGTGCAAGCCGAGATCTTCTGATGCTTAGTAAACATGGCAGATACGCCCACAGAAGCTGCACGCTGTGGGATACGCCACTGAGAACACGATGGGGATGGATACTGGATTGAAATCGGATCAATGCTGCCAAGATACTAAGCCATCAAAGAACGCGATAGGATAACTCAATTTAATTACGCAGATACAAGATTTGTACTTATTTGGCGGTGATGGCATAGGCTGAAGAGACAGACTAATTGCCCGACCCTTTGTTGAAAGTCAAACATGAGAATTAGCAAGTTATACCACATGAGCTTCTGCTAGGCATTGCCTTCGTACTCCAAGATCGAATGAAGCGTTTGAGAGAAGTGCATTTACATCGCTAGTGCAATTGTTTATGTCATATTTTACGCATGGTAATATCTACCAAGCAATACGTGTCTAGTTCCGGTTCCACATCATGTCTTTCCTAGTTGTCACGTTGCTTTAGAACATCAATTGCACCAGCTTTACATCTAGGGTCCTAGATGGGAGCAGTCTGTCATTTATTAGACAAGGGAAAGGCGGCAATATAAGAACCATGGTTTCCAAGTTCAAACGCCTAGGGATCGATTCAATATACATGGACATATAAACATTGATTAGCTTGTTGTAGTTAGTCTGGTGTGTCGCAAGGCCGAGAATTTGATTAGATTTATGGGTTTGAAGTTAGAATAAACATCAATTTGTCCTATCGTCTGGGAAAGTGCTGGTCCTGCGCTAGACAGCTGCCAGCTGGTGAACAGCTGATGCCGGTGCCAATCGTGCACGAGCCATCTTCCTGTTTGAAATTTGCACCTAACAGACGTATCTGGCGATCCTGTCAAATTGTTTAGAGGCTTGCTCATCGCAAACCCTCAGCGACAATCCATGCGTATATCTGAGAGTGCTTCTAAGCAATAGCTAATCTCACTTGAATATCCCGTCGTCTAAACAGTGGGTATCTGGATCACGTAATTTAGTTCATCGGTCTTGCAATATGACATCTGAGCTGTCGTGAGAAGTTTCCGACCAGGATGTTACCACGTCCAACTGAACCGTCAGGCATATTCTGGCAAGACGATTTCATCACGGCAGAGCATGAGGAAGAACTCATTAAAACATTCCGCAACGAGCTGGAATGGCCAGAACGAACAGGCAGATCTTCACTACACTTTGGTTTCACATTCGACTACAAGACATTTGGTGTTGATGCCGATATTCCTTACAAGCCGTTTCCAGACTGGCTTCGACCTCTCATCCCTACCACAGAGGGAAGACCCCCAGAGCAGGTCTGCTTACAATATTATCCGCCAGGATCTGGAATTCCACCTCATGTTGATACGCATTCTGCATACGATCAACTCTATGCGTTATCTCTCGGTTCGCCTGTCATGATGCAGTTTCAGAGGGGTGAGGAGCGAGTTGAAGTCGACTTGGCACCTCGTAGTATGATGCAGATGTCGGGGGACTCGCGACTTCATTGGACGCACGGAATCAGAAAACGCAAGACAGACACATTGGTAGATGGAACAATCAGGAAACGCGAAGACAGGTGGAGCATTACATACAGATGGTTGAGAAAGGGTGCAGAGTGTGAGTGTGGGGACGAGAAGTTGTGTGATACAGCTCAGAAGAGACTCGGTATCGAGAAAGGATATCGCTGGAAAGAGCAGCAGGCAGAGAATGCTAGTACGTAGCGTCAGAAGATGTACAATGTGCGAATCTCCTGCTGGATCTGGTGTCAGACAAGATGAAGGACTTCTGCTCAAGCAGTTTATTTTCCAAAAACGGAATAGATGGGTGTCGCAAACAGCGCTTTTAGTCGAACTTTAAGCCAGGATGGTTTAACCAACATCAACAATTGGGTAGCGATACTCAAACAAATCGAAACGGTACCGTTGAGATTTATATAGCTAACATAGTCTATCTGATGTGAAAGCACCCCAGCATCTATCGAATAATTGAAACACTTATAGCTTCACTCTCCTTGAGACTTGCCATTCAGCACGCTCACTATTCACCATCTCTGGTAGTAGATCTTTAACACTAACGGCACCTAAAAGGGCCATATTTGTCTCGATCTCAGCACGCAGCATATAAACGAGCCTCTTCACGCCTTCCTCACCATACTCATTGGTCAAAGCATATAGGAATGGACGACCGACTCCAACAGCTGATGCACCCAATGCTAACGCTTTGAGGATATCTGTGCCACGCCGGAATCCACCATCAATGAATATGTCGAATCGAGAACGAGCTTCGCTTGACAAGAGCTGTGGTGCATACTTGCGAATCTCGAGCAACGTCAAAATTGGAGTCTGAGCCGTATCTTGCGACCGTCCTCCGTGATTCGACAGGACAATGCCCTGAACACCCGATTGATACGCGAGAATGGCATCTTCGACGGTTTGAATTCCCTTTAGTACGATGGGTAGCTTTGTGAGACGACGCAGCCAAGTAACGTCATCCCATGTCAAAAGTGGATTAAGGAGTCCAGATGAAGATGTCTTTGCTACGCCCGATGGAATATTGCCTGTACCCTTGACACGGTCATCACGCTCCCGGCGACCCAGAACAGGTGAGTCCACTGTCATAAATATTGCCTTGGCACCTAAAGTCTCAGCTCTTCGCACAAAGGCCGTTGTCTTGTTTCTGTCGACGTTTGCGTAGAGCTGGAAAAATAGTGGTTGGGATGGCGAAACACGTGCAGAGAAGATGGCGTCTACCGGCGCAGTACTAGGCATGCAATAAGCAAGCCCTTCTTTGCCAGCAACTTTCGTTATGATAGCCTCAGCATCTACATGCGCATATCTCCCTATCCCGGTCGGACTGATATAGAAGGGGAGAGATGATGGGAATCCCAGGATCGAAGTTGATGTTGAGACAGAATCGACACGACGAAGAATACGTGGACGTAGACTAATCTTTCGGAAGATTCGATATGATTCACTGATACTGATCTCATCTTCAGCGCCGGATGAGTAGTATGCCCAACCAGAAGCCGAAAGATATCCTTCGGCCGCCTTTTCAAAATCGTTCACGCTGACGATCGAGCTAAGCGGAGGATAAGTGGGCTTCGAGTTGTCTACTTGTGCTTCGGGATCTTCTTCTGTTTTTAGCAGCGTATTTGGCTGGATATTTCCCAAGCATGATTCCGGCGGAAGAGTTTCCGAGACTAGCTCAGGACTGTGTATTTCTCCGTAGGCCTCTGTGGCATCTTTACCGCCATTGTGAAGAATGACAGATGCACCTCCTGGGTGTTCATTAAGAAAATCTGCACATGTCGTGAGTCAATGTGTAAACCGGCTGGAGAGAAAACGTCCATACTTGTTACGTCCCATACTTTGTCGTGAATGACAACCCAGCATGAGTCTTGATTGCAATGACTGGCAACCTCAGAGGCGTGAATAGTAGCCATGGTTGTCAATGAGAATATTGATCTTCTGATTGCATAGTCAGCTTGGCAATGTTGCGCTCTTGTTCTTGTCTTCATGCACACATGGTAGGATCCCCCACGTTCGAGCCAAGATGCCCACCATTCAAACCAAGGCAGCAATTAAGGCAGCAATATTAGGGCTTGTGTGGGGGTCATGTGGCACAGTGCTGTTGTTGTTTCCACTGGCTCCGCTAGACTCCTCTGATCCCACTGGTGATGGCACGATGATCCACGGAAATCCAGCGGAAACAAGGAATGAATGAAAACGCTAGTCAGGTGTATGAAGTGGGGTACAACCATGCTGCGTTTGAGCACCGGACCAACTGGGCTTGTATATCTCTAGGGAACAGTTCTAGCATTCACTAACAAAGCCATCCAATCCATCATATCTACTAGCTAGCATAATTGCCCAGAAGCTGCTTAACCACTGGATCGGTAACTGTTGGGAGGGGTTAATCCGGCAATCACTTGCACTTCAAGGTCAAAGCTGGGAATTAGACACGCTAGCAGACGCTACTTGGCATCACAAGACCAACAAGACAGTGGGAATGAATGTTGGTGCTTACGGCAGTGGAGCAGCTTCTCGCTCCACTCCCCGTGGGGAAGCTGTGTCCAAAACATGCGGGGCGGAGTGGAAGTCATTCGCGTCCAGACTCACCCCTTTGCCCCACGTGGGGGTTGGAAGGCCTGTCCTCTGGGTCGAATTTGCAATTTGATCCTTTCGCTTCCTGTCTACTTGGTAGTATTGACTTGGATTATCCTGCTGAGGACCAACACATGAAAAGAAACCATAAAGACCATCGCAGGCACCAACCATCTTCCATTCAAATCGAAGAGCCTTCTTGGTGATTTCTACGGCAAAGCAGTCTTCTTCAATCCACAATACGTGCAATACTGCCAAGCAGCACGCTTGAAAATGGAGAAGGTCGACGCTATGCGAACTTCTTTGGACCAGCTCGAAAATGTCAAGCAGGGAGACAAGCAAACTCAAGAGCTGGCGATGCCTGCCCGCTTAGCCGCTCTTGACGATGCCGAGTATCAAGCCCTTGGTCGCAAAGCCACTCTGAAGATGGATCTCACCATCATGCCCATCTTGGTCATCATGTATATTCTCAACTATCTTGATCGTCAGAACATTGCAAGCGCCAAACTTGCAAACATCACCGATGACCTCAACCTAAGTGCTGTCGATTACCAGACAGCCGTTAGCATTCTATTCTGTGGATACAGTAGGTTCCCTTGCCCTGTCTCTATCGATTCCTTTCTAACATACTATTTAGTTCTCATGCAAGTTCCGTCCAATATGATCGTCGGCAAGATCAAGTGGCCTGGTGTCTACATTTGTATGGGTATGGCTGCGTGGGGTATCATCTCTGCACTCATGGCAGTGGTCCATAGTTTCGTCGGCCTTCTCATGGCACGAATCTTCCTTGGCTGTGTCGAGGCCATCTTCTTCCCCGGTGCTCTTTACTTTCTATCTCTCTTTTACAACAGAAAGCAATTCGCTTTCCGCACTGCCATCCTCTACAGTGGTTCGCAGCTAGGTAATGCATTTGGTGGTCTATTTGCGATTGGAATCCTAAAGCTGGATGGCCGGTCTGGTTTACAAGGTTGGCGATGGGTATGTCCCCTTGATCATTGTCTAAGGGTGTCCTTGCTGACTGGTTGGTATAGCTCTTCCTCGTAGAGGGTGTCCTCACAACTGGTCTATCCATCGTCTTCGCTTTCATCCTGCCAAACTCGAACAAGAAGATTCTCGGACTATCCTCAATTGAATGCGAATGGGTTCAATGGAACTACGCTTCTGATCAGCGTCAAGAGGATAATTCGGAAGAAACAAGTGCTTTGAGAGGTCTCGTCATGGCCCTGCAAGACCCAAAGACCTGGCTGTTGATGGGCATTCTATATAGCGTAAGCTATTCGCCCACTTTGTCGTTGTGTCCAGGGTTCACTAACAGGGCTTGCAGGACTATATTGTTGGAACTCTTGCCAACTTCTTTCCCTCTGTGGTTGCAGGTCTCGGGTTCGGCACTACAAAAACATACCTGTTGACTGCACCACCTTTCATTCTATGCGTTTTCACCATGCTAGTCAACGGATTCCACTCGGATCGTAAACAGGAACGTTTCTGGCATATCGTCAGCCCTTTGATTGTTACATTGGTTGCCAACATCATTGCGTTGTCATCACTCAACACTGCAGCTCGTTATGTTGCCATGATGCTGATGCCAGCGTCATTCTACTCAGCTGCGATTGTGGTTCTATCATGGATCACTGGCAGTCTTTCACAGCCTGCCAACAAGCGTGCATCAGCAATTGCGTTCATCAATGCCATGTGTAACACTCCCAACATTTGGGGTAGCTACCTCTACTATGGATCACCTCGATATGTGACAGCGTTCGCTGTATGCGTTGCAGCCACGGGCTTGGCGATTGCATTTGCTGTTGCTACGAAAATCCATCTGAGTAGATTGAATGCGAAGATGGATCGTGGAGAGAGTTTGGGAAAACATGGTCCGACTGAGGCTCAAATTGCCGGTGGATTCCGGTACATCCTTTAGAGTAGAGTGGCAATAGCAGCTTTACATGAGAGGGTTGTCCTTGAGTAGCTATCATTAAATGTACTGCAATGTCAACAAAAACGAACATCGTTGTGACTGCATTGGACGGTCTGAAGTGCGATGGCCCCTTTTTGATCGACAAATTCAAAATCAAACACCATAACCAAGTCGTTGACAGGAATCTTGTAATCTAGAGGAGCGATTAACACAGTCCAAGATGTCTATCAGCGCCAAGAGCATTTATGACAGTCAGCTCTCAAACAAGAGAGAATATATTCCATAGAATATCATTGTATATGGATTTTGTCGTAGCATTCATGACACAATCGATTATAATCACCGACGATCAGCCAGCACCAAGGATAGCCAACTATGATTGTTTCAATGGTCCAACTATGATCGATCATATTTAACCATGTTCTTCTTTCTCAGACGTCAAAATATGTCCCAGTACCTTGCCACGTGCAAATCGACGATAGACCAGATAATTCTTCGTAATCAATTGAAGCAGCTATATCATGTTACAGGGCTAATCTATCCGTCTGTTGACGGTTGCTGATCAGTACTATCACTGAAGCAAGAAGCATGGCCCTACATAGCGACGCCGACATCACTAAACCTTCTGCTCTACATGTTCGCTTGTTTCCCCAAGGTCCACCTTTGCAGCAATCTCTTCAGCAAGAGTGACATGCTCGTTGTTCTTCAGCATCTTCCGGATCTCAGCTGCTCGCTTCACAGGGCTCTTTGTTTCATCCATAAATGCAAGATCAACCATCTCTAAAGTCAACCCACTAGTCTCTGGGAAGAAAAAGTAGACTATGGGTACGTAAGAGAGGTTGAAAACGGCAAAGATGATATAAGTCCTCCAGCCTATGTTTGTGATGGCAGATGGGATGAACATTGTCACGGCGAAGGCAAAAAGCCAAAGAGTTGAGTTTGCCAGACCTACACCCTTAGATCGGTACTCAAGAGGTAAAATCTCCGGGCCGTATGTCTAAGCCACTCGTTAGCATACAAGTTCAATGCAGGTGAAACCAATTCCTGGTGTACATACCCAGACTCCAGCCATGAAACCCCAAGTGTAGAAAGCTTGATAGGCAAAGATCATGACGGTGGCTACAATGCCGGATGTCTTGGTGTCAATAGCTATCATGACGGCTAGTACAACCATAACAGCTGACATGGCGGCACCAGTGACCATGAAAGAAATGCGACGTCCAGCTCTTTCAATAGAGTAAAGTGTTCCAAGTGAAGCTATGAGAAACCACACCTGCAAGAAACCAGACATCAAGAGAGCCATATGACGGCTAAGGCCAACAGAATTCTGGAAAATGTAGGTCGTGTAATAGGAAATCTGTCACTTTGGTTAGTTATGGTTATGCAATGTTGTGTTTCTAATGGAGAGGCTGATAACTTCTTCGCAAAACACTTACAGGTGAGCTACCACTGAAATCTTGCATGAAGTTGACTGTACAGGCCAGGGCAACTCGGTATCGAGATCTAACTCTGTCCTTTTTCAATAGATCACGCCACCCCTTCTGAGCATGGGCCTCCAAAAGAATTGCCTGTTTAATGTCGGCGACTTCTTGCGCAACTGTAGCAGCGGTTTCGTGTGGTCGTAGGGCTTGGAGAACCGAGGTGGCTTCTTCTGTTCTGTCTTTGAACATAAGATATCGAGGAGCTGGAAACAAAGCAATGTCAACAAGATGTTTCCCATAATTCAAACCCAATTCGGTGAACAAAGTCGAAGGAGCAAACTTACACTCAGGCATGAAGAACATTAGAGCGCTCATCAAAAGGGCTATAGCAGCCTGGAACGCCATAGGAAATCGCCATGAGAAGTCGGTTGGATAGTCTGACACGCCATACTCCAGCCAATATGCGATGAGTTGACCAACGATAAGCAAGCTTAAGGAACATGCTATCAGCATACCCCGAGCGTGAGGTGGTGCTGTCTCAGATTGCCAGATAGCAACATTGCTCGCAATGAGACCGAGACCAATACCCGCGACGATACGTCCAACAATAAGTTGCGCAACATTGTAGCTTGAACTTTGAAGAACTGAGCCGGCACATATCACAAATGTGCCAACATGTGCGAGGGTCCGTCGTCCGAAGCGTGATCCGGAAAAGGCAGTGGTCATGGAACCGATGAAGCAGCCAATCATGAAGATTGCTGTCACCAAGCCCTCCATGCTGGAGTTGAGTTTGAAAGTGTCCACAAACGAAGGGGCAGTGAGGATGCTACCCATGACCCCATCATCATATCCTAAGAATCAATGGTCAGGCTGAGGCCGTCTTGGCTTCTTGGCAATAATCCTGGGCGGAACAAGGAACACCCACCGAACAGGACAAAGCCCATTCCAGACGCGACAGTGATGCCAGCTAAAAGCCGGTTTCCTTGTAATCCAAGGTATACCATCTTGATTTTGTTTGAACTTGGTATGCAGCGTGCAATTCAACGTAACTTCTGAATCAAAGAAGAAACCTACTTTCAAAAACTTGGCTTGGCACATCTAGCACCGAGTGTCTCTTTATGTGCCTCCTTTCTTTGCTGTCTGGTTGGGGGAACCCACACGTTCAATGCCGGATGTGTGGCAGCCCCCGTGGGGTAGGTTACCCATTCGGCAATTACCCGGGGATGTCAACGCTCAATGCACCGCCAGCCTCTGTGGGACCGCCTGGTTACCCCATGAGTCCCCCACTGATCCCTCATATTATCCCCCATTCACAATAGCTCCGTACAGCTGATCCAGGAAGCATGCACACGCCGCACACTGACTCTTTGGTGGTGGGGAAGTTCATAGTGGTGCCCAAGATGGGGCTCAAAGTTTGACTATTATAGACCACATCCTCTACGTGGGGGATCATCCAACCACGGGTCTAATTATGTCATCGATTGGAAATCTTCGTAGTCCTGTTTGTTTCCCCCCTTTCCTCCACAGCCACAGCAGTCAAGGCGCGAGTCGAACCAGCGGTTGCACTTGCTACACCGACCCCAGGAATCGAATCCGGCATCCCATTTAGCGCGATTCAGCAGTGGCTTGGCTGCAGTTCCCCTGTCAATCAATCAAACTTTCGTTCAGCGAATCTAGTCACCGCTGCGTTCAGTGCATTTCAACACCATGCAACAGTGGACAGTATCGAGTGTAGGTGTCTCGTCGCATAATTAGCAGTTTCGGTGCATGCTGACAATGCACATCATTACAGCCATGTTTATCTGTCCAAGGCCAGCTTTTGGAAGGCCCGATTTACGATGAGACACGTCAAGAATGCCGCTTTATCGACATAGTAGGCAAAAAGCTTCATACTTTCAACTTAGCTCAAGGCCCAAAGTTTCTTCGAACCATTGAGACACAAGATAATCTGGGGTGAGTTTGTTTTGGGTCAAGAATCTATCAAAATGATGAAAGCTGCTGACAATCACGAAAGCGTAACAGCCAACATCAAGGGATCGTCATCAGAGTATATCGCAGGTGCTCGCTATGGGTTTGCAACTGTCAATGCCCAGACTGGCGAGATCAAGTACATTTGTAGAATGTGGAACCCAGATCTAGATGGGATTGACAGAGTAGAGATGTAAGTCATGCTGTCTTCCTGTTCGACAATCACATTAAAGCTATCGACCCTGCCATGACAATGCTTTATGAAACAGACCTGAGCTGACACGAGAGCTTTATAATACAGAATGCGCAGCAACGATGGCGCTGTCGATTCACATGGCCGATTCTGGGTGGGTTCCATGGTTGACCCTGGTCTGGTCGGTGAAGAACGTCCTGAAGGCATTCTCTTTCGCCTAGATCCTGACCTAAGCGTGCATCGAGTTCTTTTCGAAGCACAAAGCCCAAATGGAATTGCCTGGAACTCTGACGACACTATCATGTACTGGACAGATAGCGGAAAGCGCACGATATATGCATTTGACTTCGACGCCGCCACTGGAGCCATTTCCAACAAACACGAGTTTTGGAATGCCAAGACAGCTGGATTACCGGATGAGGTGAACCCAGATGGACTAGTCATTGATGAGCAGGACTGCATATGGACAGCATTGTGGCGAGGTTTCAAAGTTTTGAGACTCAATCCAGATGGCTCAGCAATAGGAGAGGTTAACCTGCCCACGGCTTATGTCACATGTCCAGCATTTGCGGGAACTGAACTTGTGATCACAACTGCAAGAGATCCTACTGTGGAGGAAGAGGGGACTAAACGTGGAGGGGATGTATATTGCGTGGACGTGGGGGTGAAGGGTGCACCTAAACATGAGTTTGAACTGCCTACGGGTACTCTGTAGTCATGAACATGGCCGGAAATGATACAAATCAATTCGCTGGCTCAAAATTCGAGAAGTATTTGTGATCATTTGGTATATGGCGAGTCTTGAGACGAAGCAGAGATAGAGTTCCCTACAACACAATCAATTGATCATTTCTCATGGTGCGAAGGCAGAATCCCGACTTTGAATGCATACCCTCTCCATCAAACCGTCGCTCTCGGAAACTGTTGCCGAAATGCACAACGTATGCATCCAACCCCATTTCGACCCCAAATATATAACAACATGGGGGTCAGAACCCCCCACGACTGGGGTACTTGGACCGATTCCTCACGAATGAGATGTTGCTGTGATGTCCAGTGGGTCTAATCCTAGACTATGTTTACAATCTTTGCCGATTTGCTGCAGCCTCAATCAATTTCTTGTTGATGGCAGTCAGGATCGTATAGATTGTCTCGAGTGTCGGGATTGGCATGCCCAACTCTCGGCCTTTCTTGACAGGGTACCCAAGAATGATATCCACCTCCATCGGTCGCCCATTTTGGAAGTCAGCCATCATACTACTCCCGATCGGCGGCATACCCAGAATCTTATTTATTAGATCATCAACAAGACTGTATTCGATTGAAACCCCAGACTTGCGAGCCACATCAATAACCTCTGTCATGAGTCGACGGGTCATTGGCGTTGCATCAGATGATGACGACAACCAGGAGTGCGTGTCAAGCTGTGTCAGTGTCGTAAGTGAGTTCCAAGCGGCGTTCCACACTACTTTCTCCCATCGTTGTACTTGAATATTAGGCACTACTTGGAAAATTGTCTTGCCGGTAGTCAGGAGACCTGCAAACTCGTCAAGTCGTTGTTGCTCCAGTGTTGCATCTACGTGGGAGTTTTCGAACAAGCCAATCTGCATATCTTCGGATTTTGTATGTTTCACGATTCCCGGTTCTGGCTGGGAGGCACCAACCCAGGTCTAGCAATGTTAGACGTGGTCGGTCACGCAGAAGAAGAAACTTACCACACAAGACAGGATGCTGACGCTGGGGAATGCTTTCCTGAATGGTTCTTCGTTTCCTACTCCATTTTGAATGATGACGATTGTTGTCTTCTTCTCATCAACGCCAGGTGCAATCTGAGCTGGTACAGATGCCTGATCAATGGCTTTATGGGCACAGACAATGTAATCGAATGTAGTACCAGCTTCGACGGTCTTGACCACTACAAAATGTCAGACACCAACTTTTAGCAATCGTCGAATTATTATACCTTTGAACGGGACTACGACATGTTTGCCATGGTTTTCGCTGGTAATGGAAATGCCGTTGGCTTTGACGGCTTCGTAATTTGAACGAGCACATACTGTTAGTCGCACGTTTTCGGAGCGACTGAGGATAAATGCATAAAAAGAGCCAATTCTGGAGGAACCATTAGCTTCTGCAATCTGTTCATCGGGGTTAGGAACCCACGCTCCAAGTCCATAAAGCAGGACGTCGATAGGGGCTTTTGAAGTCATTATGCCGATCGGTTCAGTTGCCCCTGATGCGATATAAGCCTTGCCTGGATGGTTTGTTTGGCAGTTGTTCCTGGGATTCTTCTCGGTACCTATTTGAACGTAGACCGGCATCTACTACCACAAATTGTTGAACCTGTATGAAGCAGAAATCACGTCGGGGGGTATGTAGCACACTTTGGTGGGATGTGGGTCCGAACGCGACCCCCAATAGCTATAAACCACTTTACCCCCACTACGGTTCCCCCACTACATCTCCATTAGTGACGCATCAATGCGAGATCGGAATCTACACAGTATCCGTTTGTAATCGACACGCAGATTGTCCATCCTCATCATCAGTACCTCCTAGGTCATATACAAAAGGGGTGATATTGACGAGTCTAACGGATCGGGTCGAATACTTTATAAGAGTCAAGCCCTGGCACCTTAGCCATTTTTAGAATGCGGAGGCTGAATTTTGTCGTCTTAGATGGGGTTCAACGATGCAGATTGTTTGTAGAATGGTATAATATCCACAAAGTTCTGAGCCAGATAAAAATCATATTCATTTGCTTCATTCACGGAATGTTTAGTTGTCGTGAAGAAGACATCTACTTTTGAGCAGTCTGCCTAAGGTCCTAGTCAAGCCTTGCGTACAATCATTCAATAGATGCCCAAACCTCGTCTGGAACTTATTTGGGATCTCTGGCTATTTATCTATATACTCATTCCAATCAGTCACTTCAGACATATACATCGAGTGGTCATACCTATGTCAGTATTGCTAAATGGCATCGTTAAGAAGGAAATGCGATTAAAGTCAAACATCCATGTCAATATCATCGATTAAGGTGATCGGGAATAAATGACTGTCTCTTTGTACTCTTTATTTACCCAAAAGAAGTGAAAATGGGTCTACATTGCAAGAATTATCCACATAATTGGTTCCTAATAAGTTGTCTTCTCATGAATGAACAGGTTTGATTGGCTTTGATGGTTCAACCCAGTCAATGTTGGTGATCGCATTCGTCAACCAAACATCACCAGGTCCATGAGGAACCTCTTGGACAGTATCGTCATTGTTGAATAGTGTTCCGCTTAGGAATGTATGAGGGAACCCAGGATCAAAGTAGTAGGCGTTCTCAATCTCTGCAATCTCGTCATCATTCAGATCAATATTGAGAGCTTCGACGTTGCTCTTCAGTTGTTCGGATGTTCTACATCCAACGAGAGGGAAGACGTAAGGCGCCTTATTCATAACATACGCCATGGCAACGCCTGTGAGTCTCGTATTCTTTTCGTTGCTCAGTGCCTCCAACACTTTGGAGATAGCTCTCTCGTTCCTTTTCGGTTTCTTTTGACGTCCGGGATTGTTGACTTGACGCTCTTTGAAGGCTGCTTCGGTTTGAAAACATCCTTGGCCCAAAGTCCCGTATGGTACTAAACCCATTCCCTCATCTTTGCACATGGGGATTATGTCACGCTCGAAGTCGCGGATTGACGCATTCCACAGGCCTTGATAGACGACAAAAGGCGCGAATCCATGATCTCGTGCATACTGGTTTGCTTTCGCGACCACCCATGCCGGCGTATCAGAGATCCCCAGATAATTGACCTTGCCAGACTCAACAAGCGCATTGAGGCTACGCATCAGTTCGGGGATAGGCGTTGCATAATCCCACCAGTGGACATACAAAAGATCAACGTAGGATGTTTGAAGACGCTCGAGAGAGCTCTCTACTGACAGGCGCATTGACTTTGTGCCATTGCCACAGAAATTGGCCTGGACTTTATCCTTCATGTGCGGAATGCAGGTGCCGGAATATTTAGTTGCCAGAACAAGTTCGTCACGATTCTTGCGTGAAGTCATCCATTCACCCAACCAGAGCTCGGATTCTCCGTCTTGATATCCATTTGCGGTATCAATGAAGTTGCCCCCAAGTTCTTTGAATGTGTCGAGAATCTCGAAGGCTGTCTCCTTGGTACACTCTCCCATTCGGGCTTTATGGGCGTCACCAAAACCCATGGCTCCAAGGCATATAGGTGAAACTCTGACTCCTGCTGACGGGGCAAGGAGCCGATAGCGGCCAAGGGCAGACTTTGGTGGTGGTGCAGGAGGGAAAGGTGGTGCCATGGTTCTTGATCAAAGTAAAGGCTAAAAGTGAAAGATTCTCGAGAAGTAAAGACAAGAAGGGTTGACACGGCGTACAAGGTATGGTGTATCACCTTTTATAGTCATTTAAGTAGCTGGGATCTTGATCAAGGTCTCCTCCACGGAGGTAGGCGTATTTACGCGGGTAGTTCTGTATACGCGTCATTCTAAAATTCTCAAAAGCCTCATTCTATATACATATGATATGATGAAGCAAGATTCAGGAGACGATGATTCTAGCAACTTTCTTGAAGCCACTGCCGACATATTCAGGCACAAAATTAGCTATGTAGCACATAAGCAAGTTGCATATACTTATGGGGCAAGCGTGTTTAGCAACCAACGCTATTCCTGAGCAGGTTAGCCTCTTATACCAGATTCAATTCGCTCATCTTCGGGATCGAGAAGCAGTGCATGGCTCAATAATGTACAGACGAGACTATTCATGCATTCAGACGTGCGATATCGTGAATGCCGAAAAATGAGATGTCTTTCCGACAGCGAGAATTGTGTAGTGGCTGTTGATACACCAACAGGATTAATCTACTTTGTACCTGAGGCGCGTGCCGTGTTGAGGTGGGTCATAATATCCTGACTCGTCCAAGCGCCACCTGACCTCGAAATAGTCCGATCCGACGCCAGTTAGATCTCTCCGTGGCAGCTTGGACGAAAAATGAATCGGTGTTCATCCGCATTGCTCGAAATATGTTCCGCTACACAATCATCTCAAAAAGAAGGCAAAAGCTAGTATTGTGATCTAGTGTCCAAGAAGACGGAGAGAGGTCATGGAGCCGACTTCAAATCAGAGCAGTCCTGGCCAGTCGTCTTTGACACCTCTCAGATCTCACTCCTGCGCATTGTGCCACAAGAGAAAAGTGAAATGCGATAAGAAAGATCCTTGCACGTATTGCGTGACAAGAAATATTGTCTGTGTACCAGTAGTTCAGGCTGATTCTGGCATGAAAAAGAGGCGATTCCCAGAAGCCGAGCTACTAGCGCGTTTGAGGAGATACGAGGCTGCTTTAAAATCCTTTGGGGCGGACGTTGATGCTCTTCGATATGGAAACACGAGCAGCTCTACTACCCGTGCGATTGATACAAGGGCAGCTAATCAAGAACCCGCAATGCAAGGAACTATAGGACCGGCACTTCACGTCTATAAAGTACGTTTTGAAGGACAGCTCTTGTCCGCCGTTTATTCGCTTTCTGGTACTAAACAGACATGAATAGACTGAGGGAGCCGAACAAACACTTAAAGGGTGTTCGGAAGATGATGACATAGCAACGCCGGAGCCCATCTTTGCTACATATGACCTCGCATTTGAAACGTACGGCAGTCCATTAGTTTTCAGCACAAGCATCGCTGGCTCTATAGATCTTCCGAGTCTTCAACCTTCAACACATCATATTCTACAACTTTGGCAGACATATCTGGATAACGTCCATCCGTTACTACGCGCTTTCCATGCACCAAGTCTTCAACAACAGTTATTCAACGCAATCAACAACATGTCATCCCTATTGCCATCGACACATGCCTTGTTATTCTCAATCTACTCCACAGCAATGACATCTATGCGAAGTGCTACTTGTTTGACCAATTTTGGAGAAGACAAACATGTATTGATATCGAAATTTCAATCTGCAGCTCGGTTTGCACTTCACAAGTCAGGTTTCCTACGATATTCGGATCGAACAGTTCTGTCAGCCACAGTTCTATGTCTGGTATGTGCACCCCTTTAGGCAATATCTTTACTTTGTCGTAAAATCAAGAGATATCTTACTGACCATCATTAGATATCCATGACAAGAACAGTAGATCCTCGACTACTTCTCTGCATGATTGCATCTGCCGAACGTTGTGCTAGGAGAAATGGATATCATCTGAATCTTCGTGGCAGAGACATCTCATCATTTGAGGTAGAAATGCGAAGCCGTCTTTGGTGGCAGATCGTATGGCTTCAAGGTCAAGTTGCTGAAGCAGCAGTAGCTGGACCTTCTTCACTGTCATGGGACTGGCAGGTTGTTCTCCCGCGAAATGTCAACGAGAGTGACATTACTCCAGAGATGAGCGCAATGCCTCTGGTGCATCAACTTCCTACTGATATGCTGTTCTGTATCGTCAAGTACGAAATACTCGAGTTTCGGCGTCGAATATGGGCTAGTGTGCAGGAGCATGTTCCCAACTTCCGATCTAACGAATTCAAAAACCCTATGATCTCGGTCTCTGACAAATTGAAGGCAATCGATTCATTCCAGCGAAGACTAGAGTCGCAATACTTTAGTCATTGTGATCCTACTACCGCTTTGTTCATCATGACGCAATATTATGTCACTTATTCCCTTTCCAAAATGAGGATTGCAGCATATACCACGATTCCACTGTCAGACGCACAAGTCGTTCAAGAGCGTCAGGAAAAGCTCATGAAGATCTGCATTGAGGCTATTGAGGCCTACACTTCGTGTTTCAGGCAAAGGATGCTTGACAGGTTTCATTGGTTTCTCATATCAACTGCGCCCTTCCTAGCATACGTTCACCTGCTATACAATCTTCGACGATATCCTACCAGTATGCTGGCAAGTCGTGGTTGGTCAGCCATATCTTCAGAGACTGATGGATTTGGCCGACCACGATGGATATGGGGGCTGAATCCCAGCTGGAACGAGCCGGATGATAGTGCCATGGCATTAGCTTTTGCGAATATGACTGTCAAGGCATGGGAAGCTCGTGAGAAAGTATCAAGTGGCTCTCACATTGAACAAGCTCCAGCGCTCATAATGTCAATGAAGGAGAAATTGAATCGTAGTCAAAAAACCAACAATGATGTTGGGTCATTCAATGAAGTCTGGCCTTCAACACATGAGCACAGAACCGAGCTAGTGGCCAACGAAGCACCAAATGACATTTTGCAGGTTCCTCAGCTAGATCCAGCCATGGATAGTGATTTCACGATGTTGAACGATTGGGGTTTCGGTACGGCTGACGACTACTATTGGGGCGTCAACTAAACTAGCAACATAAAAAATCGCGATTATCAACTACTCATTGACACTGTGGTTTTATTCAACTTGATGAAACCTAGGTTGTTTTAATTAAAGAGAAGATATTCTTTATTGGCTGTGTGTCTATTTCATCTGTCATCATCTCAATTTACTATACAATGGAGAACAAATATCGGTTGGTCTTCGTCAAGACTTGTTCTGCTCTTTCGTTACATCAGCCTGACTTTGAGCCTTCGGTTTGATCCCTTTCCACTCCATAGAAGATGCTGGTATAACTATTGCTGTAGCTAAACCAACCGCAAGGTATAGCGTTGTTGTAATTGACACATTGTAAGCTGACAAGACTTCCGGAAGAATCTCGGGAGGTATGATGGTTCGAAGATTAGCCGCGCCTAACTTGATGATCCTGTCTGCGTCTGGAACACCCCGTAGCCTGTCTGATAATATCTCCTGAAAGACAGTCTCCGCAATGGCAAGGACTAGAGCACCTCCCATCTGTTGTCCAAAGATGATGATAGCAATACCAATCGGAACATCTGCCCGAGGAAGAACCGTCTGTGCAGCAAGATTGGATTGTTGAAGACCCATACCAATGCCAAAGCCGGCGATTATCTGATATCCAATCCAGCCAGACTTGCTAGTCGTGAGCTTCAATGTAGTCAAGACTCCAGTTCCAATCGAAGCAGGTACTGGTGCAAGAAGCATTGATGGACAATAGTATCCAATTCGTTGAGTGATGATGCCGGTGAGTATAGATGAAACAACTAATGATAATATCGTCGGAAGAATTGAGATACCTGAGCTTACAGGACTATCTCCATGTACTGCCTGAAACCATAGGGGGAGATAATAGGCCAGGATTACCATTGAACCATTGACCATGCCGTTGTAGAAGAACCCGCATAGAATACTTCGCTGAGCAAAGACTCTAAATGTTTTGGTGTCGTTATCCTTGTTCCATAGTTGAAGGAGAATCCAAACAAGGAATGAGAAACCAGCACATAGAAACAAAAGTATGATGCGCCAATTGCTCCATGCGTATGTACTGTTACCCCATTCCAACGCCAGTATAAGACATGTCATCGACGGAACAAACGCCAAAGTTCCGACAATATCAAGCTTGCTGATCTTTTGTTCCAGTGAGAGGTGATGATTCACCGGCTGATAACTTTGGAGTAGGAAGATGATGGCCACGATCGATACTGCGCCACACGGTAAATTGATGTAAAAGCACCATCTCCACGATGCCCGTTCCGTCAAGGCGCCACCAATAAGTGGACCTGCAACAGAAGCAATGGCACCAACTGCACCGAACATTCCACCAAACACCGGTCTTTTGTGCAGAGGAATGACGTGGAACATGATTTGCATGACACCAGACATGACGCCAGCAGAGCCTATTCCAGCAATAGCACGACCAACAATGAGAATGGTGGATGTCGAAGCAGATCCGCAGACTGCTGATCCAATCTCAAAAATGACCACAGCAAAGATGAAGACGTATTTGACGGGAAACAATTGGTAGAGTCGACCATATTGAAGTTGAACGGCGCAGTTGGAAAGCATGTACGCACTGCCATACCATCCTATATCGGATGTTGAATCTGGAGACTGATCAGTGGTGAAAGCAATTGTGCGAACTAGAGTTCGGTCTTACGGAATTGCCTCGTGATTGTAGGAATGGCTGTTCCGAGTATCGTTCGGTCCTGAGGCCCAGGCTGTTAGAACAATTCCTGGTCATTTGAAAACTGCTTACCAAGGATAATAGAAACAAAGACAGCACGCAAGCAACCATGACCATCAAGCCAGTAGCTGTAGAAGGGTATTTAACGTCTTGCGTC